TATTTTTTTATTGAATTAACCGTCATTTTTTCCTTAAACTTTTACTTAAAAGGATCAGTGGACACCCTCAACTTAAATATTTTATAATAAAAAATATTAAAATATAATGTGAGACCTATTAAAAATCAACTAATGTTGAGAAAATAACATAGTAATAAGGGAAATAATTTTTAAAATCAAAGGACAGAATTAACCCAATATTAAATTTAAGGTTTCCAATAACATTTTGAGTAAAGTTAAGGGATTAAAAATGACCCCTAACCCTAATATCAAACTTATTCAAAAAGCATTCAAATTACCAAAAAAATTTAATGCATATATTCTTTATTTTTTATTTAATTTTTAATTTTTTAAAATGTGTTTACTTTGTAATTTTAAAAAATTTAAATATAAAAATTGGATAAAAATATTCAAATATATAGTTAAAAAATTTATGAAATAATAATTTAATATAATAAATTACTCAATTAATTTATGGCTATTTTTCTTTAAATTTCATTAATTTTAAATCATTTATTTAAATATTAGCATATTTAATTATTTACAGTTTTTAAAATTTGAAGAGAGAGTAGACAATTAAATCACAAAGGTAAATTAGCAGTTTTAAAATTTTTAATATAATTTCAAATAAAATATTAAATATTTTAGAATTTTTAACCGAAATTTCTAATAATATTAAAAATTAGATCAAACCGTATGTTTTAAAAATAAATGAGAGATCTCAGTAACTTTAGTGAATCGAGAGGAGGCTACAGTCTTTTATTTTATTTTATATTAAATTCAAAAATAAAAATAAATTTAAAACTAACTTGGGCGAGCATCTACGACAACTTAAGGACTAATTTTTAAATACTTTTATTTTGTGGCCAGAATATAAATTTATCTATTTCTTCTGCTTAAAAATATAAGATATTTTTTTATATGTTGAATAGTTAAAAATATAAAATATTTTTAATCAAATCTTATCCTCAATAAAATAGGTATTTATTTTTAAACTAGTTTTATCTTTTCATATTTACCTCTATTTAATATAATGTTTCACCCTAAAATAAATATAAAATAATTTATTTAATATGAATAATTTTAAAAAAAGACAGTGATTAAGTTTTAAAACATTAAAAATATTTTATATTTTTTAATATATAAATTTAAAAAAAATCTCTTATTTTTGGACGGAGGGAGTGATTTATAACTGGGTAGTATTTGCTGCCTAACTGCAACAAGTTCATCAACGGCTTTCTCCTCTTTTTTGGAGGGTTGAGCCGTTAAGGGAATATATCATCAAACGCCAACCAAACCGACCAAAGATTTTTTTATTTTTATTTTTTTGTTTTTAAAGTACCGTTAAAGTTGTACGTCCGGTACAAGCATGGTTCTTTCTTTTTCATGCCAAAAATCCCGTTCAAATTGAAAAACGATTGGGTCCCCTTTCCATTGATAAATCAACAGTATTCGGATTCAATTCATTCCGAACTAAAATAATCTTACTTGTTTTGTCCTAATCCTTAATCAAGTTAATAAAATAAAAGTAAATTGCTGAAACCTCAACAATTACTTCTTTCACAAAAGGTTATAGTTTAATAATTTTGCACTAAAATGAATTCAACATCAATCAATTGACGGTCAATGGGCAAAAAAAATCCTCAATTTTTGTTCAAAAATCACCATAAACACTAAACTCTTAAAATATATAAAATAAAATTTAAATTTTTAAATTCATAGCAAATTAAATCTTACTGTCATTTTTTTAATGCCGTTATTATTCATAGTGGGTCCTAGTTAATTAACACCACAGACTTTAAATTGTTGTGCCAGTAGTGTCTTGAACCCTGAAATTTAAAATTTTGAGCAAATTATTCAATTATTTTATGTATAGAACGTTGACTATTATCTAGATCAAATTAGCTTCAGTGTGGTTCGCCGCGTTGAATGCATCATTGGCCGTGACAATCAACTCATAATTTTGTAAAATGACTTTTTTTGCCCTTTTTTGAAAATATTTTTCAAAACGATTGGTATCTCATACTTCGATATATTCTATAACTCTAATTTAGTTCCATTTTACATAATATTTATTTATTTAATATTAAAAATTTGGGATCTCATTTAAAATAAGTTTAAATATCATAGGATTTTACAGACAATTGATGCGAAAGTCGACGATTTTGTCAACGAATTTAAATCTCAAAGTAACCAGCTAATTAAAATTCTTTGATATTTAAATTTTTTTCAATGAAATCCTAAGCTTGTAGCATTAAATAAATAAACATTATTTAAAATAAAATTAAATTAGAGTTATATAACATACGGAAGCATATGATATCAATTATTTGAAAAACATTACAAAAAAAGCAAAAAATATTATTTCATAAAATTATGAGTTATTCACCACAGTCAACAATGCATTCATCGTGACGAACTACATTAAAGTTAATTTGATCTACATAATATTTAATGCTTTATATATAAATGATGGGGATAATTTGTTTAAAATTTCAAAATTTATAGTTTAGGATGCTACTCTTGTAACAGTCTAGGATTTATAGTACTAATTAATTGAGCCCCATGGTGAACAATAATGGGGTTAAAAAAAGATAACTGTAAAATTTAATTTGTTACAAATTTAAAAATTTAAAACTTATTTTATATATTTTAAGAGTTTGAAATTTAGGGAGCTTTTCAAGTAAGAATTTAAACTTTATTTCACTCATTAACCCATCAATTAATCCTATGAAAAGATTTAAATCAATAAATGAGGAAAAAAATTCTTATTATATTCACTTGATCGAAGTAAATACGCTTTCGGCCATCAAAATCAACATCATATATAAATTTGAAATCATTGAAGTTGTTAAATTATTACTCAGCAACTATATATATACATATATATATATATATATATTGATTTTAAACTTTCGAGGCACCTGTCACGCTCCCCCATCCCTTCTTGTGGGTGAGTTTGTACTGGTTTACTTTTCTTTTTATTTTTCTGAGCACTGAAACTACATTTACATTGAAAACAACAAAAGGAAAGGATGTTAAACCCACCGCATAAAACAAGTTTCAACCAAATACTGTAAGAGTGTTGGGTGATACTTCCATGGCAGAATTTCAGTTAAGAATTATTACAGGGACTTAAATTTAGATCGGTCCAAATTTTTTTTGAAATTTTAATTTAATATAGACGAAAAAAATTAAAAAAATTTTAATGATGAAAATATCAAAATAATCTTTATTTATTATACAAAATTATTAATTATTAATTTTTTCAATATACTTATTAATTTATCAATATCACTTATAAATTATATCCATTTATTAGACATTCAGTAATATTAATTGTTAATTTACTAACTTTACTTGTTAATTTGCTAACATCAATTATAAATTACAAGACCTGTTAGTAATTTACAACTAATGTTAGAAAATTAACAAGTAAAGTTAAGAATTTAATAACTAATATTGCTTTTTATGATTGAACAATTGATATCAAGTTTTATACAATTATTGACATGTCAATTCATATAATTTGTAACTTATATTTATAAATTAACAAATGATGTAAAAAAAATTAACAAGTGATAATTCTGCATAATAAGTGAAGGGTATTTTGATCTTTTTATAATTAAAATCCTTTTGATTTTTTTCTCCAGAACTAAATTAAAATTTCAAAAAAAAAAAGGATGTGCATGAAATTAAGTCTTTACTGTGATTTTTAACTAAAATTCTCCCTACTTCCTTTCCCATATTTTATAAGACATTTTCTTGGTAATTTGATCATAAACGATATAAAATATTTAAAGAAAAGGATAATGATTTATTAATAAACATGTTATAAAATTACTTCTCATTTTTTAATTTTTAGATATCTTCTTCTATCTTTCATATTAAATGAAGAATATTTTTAAAAATTTATATTTAAAAAATTAAAATTTTAAATGGTATTCAATTGATTTAATTATTATTCACAATTTTATTAAAAAAAGTGTCTTATAAAAAGCATAAAGAGAGTAAAAAATAAAGCCTAAAACATTCAATGAAATCTAAAAAGAAAAGGCAACAAAAAGATCAACTGTTTTTCTATAAATTTCTTAGGATATATTTGGAAAGGGCTTTCCACTTCCAAAAAGTCATTTTTTTTTTCATTCCATTTGTGAGTAATAGTATTGTTTTGATATTTTGCTAATCTTAAAATTCATTTAAGATCCCAAGAAGTGTGTTTGACAGTTTGTTTGAAATTCTGTAGTGGTTTTTAAATTTTGAAATATGAGTTAGAGCTAATTATGACATAAATTTGCCGACCTTTGACTTGTGAAAATAATTCAAAACATAAATGAATTTTTGGTTTGGTAAATACACTCTTGGTAAAATGAAAACCAAAGCCACCCTTAATCATTGATATCAACTTTAGCTGAGCTAGTATCGATAAAGTTTTCTATTCTTTCAGTCAAATTTTTTTTTTCAATATTCTTTTTCACTTCTTTTAGAAGCTATTTGTACGGGATAACTTAATAAATATCTTTTAAAAAAAAATCACCACGACAAACAACCCACCATAAAATCCTTTCCTTTTGATCCAGCCTTAAAACATACTAAAATTTATATATAATATAAAATTCTAACTAAAACCATGGAAGGAGACCCATGTATGAAAAAAATTAATTTAATTAAAAATATTAATTATGTGACCATAATAAGAATAGATAAGTATAGTAAAGGAGCCGGTTTATTCACAAGAATGTAATCAATCTCAAAGAATACCTAGCTCTATCTGCTCCCGCTCCTATGGATTTCTCTTTGTCAAAGATATGAACGATGACTTCGAATTTTTGAGTTCCAATTCTATCAATTCCGTATATACAGTCTCAAAATTAATGTTCATCTGGGGACAGGAAGAAAAATCATTCTGCCTTTTCAGCCTTCAGGTCCCATGTCTTCCATTATCAATCAAAACTCGTCTGACGGTTAATTTTTTTAAAATCCAGCACCACTTCACAACGCCGCCATGTAATTTCTCACCTCATCCTTATCATCTCCTTCATCACTGCCAGCAACTCTGGCCCAAAAGTCGTGATTCCACCCTGCTTCTTCTCCGTTGATAATAATATCGACGTTGATAATGCTTCCTCATGCTCTGTAATAGAGCTAGAATCTTTAAGCCTCCCTAACTCCTTCGACTTGGCTCCAGGAAGAGACAGAGTGAGTTCTGTTGAGAGATCGTTGTTCAGGTTCGCGTCCGGCGGTCTCGATTCAGGCCGAATCACAGTCGGAGAATTAGAGACTGCCTGATGACCGGAGTCACTAACATCAGATCCAGTTTGGCTGCCCGGGCTGTAACAATGACCCGCTAATACGGAAGGAATCGTCAGCGATCGATCTTCGGTAGCCTGCTTCTTCGTTGGTAGTTGGAGCGATGGATCTTCGACGTCACGAACCAGTGATGAGTACTTGCGCTTTAAGGTGGAGTTCCAGTGATTTTTGACAGAGTTATCCGTACGGCCGTTGAGGAGCTTGGCTATGGCGGCCCATTTGTTGCCGAACTGGGCGTGTGCCTTGATGATGATCTCGTCCTCCTCCGGAGTGAAGGCGCCACGCTCTACATCCGGTGAGAGCTGATTGCACCACCGTAGCCGGCATGACTTTCCAGATCGTCCGGCGATCGCCTTGCTTATGGCCGACCAATTTCGAGCGCCGTGCCGTCGCACGTGCTGCCTCAACAACTCGTCCTCCTCAGGGCTCCAGGGACCCTTGACTCGATCCACCTCTCCCTGCAACGCCTCCATTGTCATGTACTCGTCGTCGATCAACCCTATGCAAAACCTAAAATACACCAGAATCTCCAATGTCCAAGAAAATAGAAAATTAAATTAGAAAAATAAGAGAGATTGGAGAGAGAACCGGTTCAGAGGGAGAAGCCTCTGAAATCTGAATGCGAAGAGTTAGAAGAGGAATGAATGAGGGGGGGTTTATAAGAAGAGGGTAAGTCAATAACTGACCCAGCCAGTTAGCTGAAACAGGTAAGAAACGATATGTGAACCGGGGATAGTGGGTTACCGGTGAAGTATAGTTTACAGCTGGATAACGACCAGTTTTGGCCACGCGGGCAACGAAGGTTTCTGAGAATCCAACGAAATACTCGGCGAAATGAAACGCAGCGGAAGAGTTAGTTAGGACTTGTTGGAAGTTAAGGGATTTGGTGGATCGTTCGTGAATATTTGAAAAAATCGCGAAAATCAGTGTTTTGGAGAGAGACGTCGTCGATATTTTAACTTTGAAGGGTATTTTGACGTCTGACTGTTGGGATAAGCTCAGCTGCAATGGGGCCAGGCTGGAGAGCATTACGTAAAGAATTTGAATTTTAGTTTGGGTGCATACAGTTAAGTTTTTTTTTTAAAAAAAAAAATCGATGACAATTAGATTTTAGCGAAAATTTTAAAAATAAATATAAATATTAATTTAAAAAAAACTCTCTTTTATTCAAAATATTAGCAGTTTTTTTTAAAAAAAATTTACATACTTATAAAGTTCTTATTCTCATAAAAATATATAGTATCATTTTTTTTTATCCCTTAGATCTTAATCTTAATTATCAATACACTCTATGATAAATAAAATATACATTTATATAAATATTTAAGTTAACAAATAGAAAGGGTAAGATGAAATGTTTTTTCATTTTCTCAGTTACTTATATTTTCAATCAAGATTAATTAAAAAATGTTTTTTTTTTCAAATAGGAGGATTATAAATTAAAAAATTGATTATAAAGAATGTATTTAAATTTTAAATATAAATCTAAATTTATATTTGATACAATTTTATCAAAAATATTATTACTTAACTTTTTTAATGAATTTGTTGTAGTTTTCTTCTTCTTCTTCTATTTTGCCAACTAAAAAATTTGTTTTGCATCATTAATTTTTTTTTTCTTTAGTTGTTGGAGTTTATTGAAAGATATTTCTTCTGTTTTTATATATAAATTTTTAATTTTTTATTTTTTAAATATAAAAAATTATTAACATATTTTAATGAATCAACTATTATATTTTTATAAATTAAAATTAATAATAAATATTTTATCAATTTATTTTTTAAAATATTTTTATGAATAAAAACTAAAATATTATGAAATTTTTAATTAAATAATTAAATTTATTAATTTGTGTGATTTAATTAAAAATATTTTATACAGGAGATAGATAGGTATTAATGGAATTTTTGGGAAGCACGAAGTGATGAGGTGGGGAAGAAAAGAGATAGGGAATAAAACTGACAATACAGCTGGAGACTGAAGGCCGGAGACGACTTGACGAGTGACGAGGTTGTAACGGGCTACTCCCACCCACGCGAGCCGGTATCTACCCCACTGATCTTCAGTCTGCACTAATTAATTTCATCTTTTTTTTATATATTTTTTATTTAAAATATATAAAACATTTTTCTGAAGTATAATTTTTATCTTTTTTAATATTTTTAGTAATAAAATATTTATATTTTTATTTAAAATAAAAAATTTATTAAATAAAAAATATAAAAAATATTATTAATTGAATATAAATAATTACTTTATTTAAAAACATAAAAATTTAATTAAAATGTCTTATAGGTCGAAGGAAAGGGAGTATATAAATTTTACTGTTAAATTAATTTTTTTTTGGGCCCAGATTTTTAATTAAGTTTAAACGCAATGGAACCGCACAATTTGAACTGCCAAAACTAACCCTCCCAAAAAAAAAAAGTTCTCAGATTTATGGCTTTGATGTAATTCGCCCTTTTGTTGCTGTACATCTTGATGATTAATGAAATTCCTTTTCCACTTAAAAAAAAAACAAACAAGTTCTCAGAAAATTCGTGGGTTCGGTTCACGTTAGATTAGAGCATGGTAATTTTCTGGACTAATGCTATACTTAGCAGGGAAAAAAAAATAAATGGAAAAAAATGAAAAAGGAAAGTGAAAAGAAAATCACATTTTCTGAGATAGAAAACGCGAGATGAAGATAATATGTTTGCTTTTAAAAAATAAGAAGATTTCAAAAAAAAAAATTTCTATTTCTCAATTCATACAGGACGTTTTTCGTTCCGCCCCTCCATTTCATCCTTGTAATGGCTGTCATATAAAATTTTTATTATTGGTTTATTTAATAATTTGTTAAAAAATTAAAATTAGATAAAAGAATTTTTTTTTTGATATTTTATTCCCGTTGTCTTCATCGAAAACATATTTGTATTTCATTAGTAATAATTAAATCAAAAATTATGTAAAATAACATGTTTATAAAAGTATAAGTGTTATTGTATTTAAATTTTTATAAATAATAATATTATTATTATTATATAAAATTAATAAGTTTTCTTTTTCTTGTTCTCTTTCGCCAGGCACAACAAGAGAAAATCACACCAATTAATTTTTCTCTTACATCCAATTCTCACTTTCATTTTCTTCTTCTTATGTTCACTTTGTTAATCAAATACCACTCAAGGATGGTTCTAAAAAACTAACTCCTTTCCCCTTGTTTTTGTAAACTGGCTTAAATTTTAATTTACTGTCCTGTTTGATCCTTAATATAAATAAATTCAACCAACTTCACACTATTTAAAAATTGTAATTATATCATTAAAATTATTTTAAAACTTGTAACTTTTTTATCTGTCATTCTTTAATTAATAACCATAATAACTTGTGTACAGGAGTTCAAACTTAAAGAATATTTTTGCCATCCTTCTTTTAGCAAAATTGAGTCAATTTTATTACAAAGAGTACTTGTAAGCTGTTGATTGAATTATCTCGATTTGACAACTTTTAATCTATGAAACATCAATACTCTAAACTACCTCACATATCTATATTGATATTGTATCTAATATTAATGCTCATCAATATTTTTTCAATTCATATCCTTAAAATATT